GTTTTGCGGAGTCGGTTAATGCGCGAGCTGCTACATGACAACAAAAATTAATTGTATTACGCGAGCGGAAGCCTGGGATGGACAGCCTGATCGTTGTATACACAGAACACGCTGCTTGTTCAGTTCATTAATTAAGGCAGCCAGGCTACCCGTGAGTCACTTATCGACTTTCTCCTGCCGGGCAAGGGATGGAGCGGGCCACGCTAAAGTTAATCACTTACCACATCGTGCTACTTTACAGGTGTTCCATCTATCCTGGGGGTTGAACGGGCATTCGATCTTATTTCCCAAAAGGCTTTCTGTCTGCATTAAAGCCACGCGATAGCTCGCTAATCCTATTAACGTCCCACTTTCCGCAGACTCACATGTCGAATCAAACTTTCGAGGCAAACGGTTTTGAGTGGGATAATTAAAAAATTAAATTTTATTTATTTCTCACTCCTTTCGGTTTGATTATGAATTTGCTGGCACAAACTCATGGATTCTTAATGTTTTCGGCATGAATTTTGTTTGATAAGGACCTGGAATTGGGTCGAAACGTTGTGTTTTTTAAATAAACCACTTAATTTTTGCCAGTTTGGTCGACTGCAAGTTTTCCTTCTTGGTACACTTAAAAACATTCAACATCTTTCATATTTTTCTCTAATTTTTTTTATTCTTCTCGTGTTTCTACGACTGCGCCGTCTATTTTCTATCCGCAGCGGTGGCATGTTCTGGCATGATTAGAAAAAGCGTGTACACGGTTGACTCATCGTTTTTAATGAATGAACCATTACTGTCCGTCTAAATGCACGTAAACCTTATGCGTAGGAGTTAAATCGACCCGTCACAATTTTTTACGACGCTCGAGGCTGTTACATAAATTCGTGCGCGTTAAAAATATAAAATGTAACGAAGCTAAAGGGCTGCGTATATTAAAAATGCAAAATAATTAAAAATTTGCCGCGACAGTCTGACAATGAGTCGGCGAACGTTTCGTCTTCGATATTCCTACACTGAGAAAACTGTCCGATTAAATGTAATCGGATAATCCATTTACATGATAACAAACGGACATATCCAATTAAATTGTATATCCGATGAAAAATACAATCGGTTTTTCGATCAAATTTCATTTCATCGGATACATTTCATCCAATGTATCCATAATTTAATCGGAAAACATAATCGGAAACATTAACCATCGAAAATACTATTTAATTAATTTATCCGATGGACATTTTTCTCAGTGCACTACCATATGCTTATCAAGCAAAGCCAGGACTAGGGTGTGGCGAACGAGGCACTTGCCTCGTATAAAAGCTTTATGTAGGGGCGCAAAAATGGCAATTGTTCTAATAAAATTAATATTAATATATTAAATATAACTAATTAAAATTAAAGCAATTAATCAAATTCGTAAGGCTCCAATGTGAGCGAAGTAACAAAGGAGTAAGAGCCAAAAGGCGAAACAATTGGAATTATTTTTATTATATTTTATACGCCGTGAAAGGAATATTTTTCGTCACTAAAGAGCGCACTTTTTTCTTTGGCCTCGGGCGCCAAAATGTCTAGTCCCGATTCTGTCAAGCGGTACGGGTCACGGGGTCCAGAATGGTTCAGAGACAATGGATCTTTGCTAACATTGCTACTCGCGAACGTGCATCTACATTCGTGTTCGCGCTATTCACGGCGCATACGGATGTATTTAAATGCCATGTAAAACTTCTCGACAGGAGATTCGCGCTTTCGAGGAGGCGTAAGATATGGCGCGCCGACACATCATCTTACGTGGAACCGAGACGGAAGGCACCGCTAATATCACGCGACGCGTAACCGTGGACGAATACGGTGCTGCTTCGCAAAGGAACCCCGGCATCTCCGCGAGGACCTCTTCGAGAAAACGCTTTTAACTATAAACTTCTTGTACCACCGACGCGGCCAAAAGAGAAAACAGAAGTACGAACGTAACGTTATTTCAAAGACAGAAATATCTCGCAAATTGTGCATATATTAATCAGTTATATGCAGTCATATAATGAATTACGTGTTTACGTACATTTTTTGCCTTCGTGGAACAAACGAAATCGTTTGGAAAAATTTTAAACGCCAATTAGAATTCTTCTCGTACAATAATACAATTGATCCTAAATTTTTTTTATCACGCATGTAATATGTTCTTTGAGAATTTAGAGATATCAAAGTCACAGGCCGCCAGATAATGTCAGACTCTCGCAAAGTGGCTGCTGCAAATTTCGCCGACAGAATGCACAAGTGCGAGAAAATCCGATAACGAGATACGACGGCGGATTGACAGTCAGAATATATTATATTATTTTCCAGTTATTTAGTTAATTAATATATTTAAATAAATTAATAGAGTTTATAAGGCTCCCATGCGATAAAAACAAATTCGAAGTAATAGAGACCAAAGAGCCGTGACGGGATGTTAGTGTCTAAATAATTTTTATTTTTAATGTATTGTGAAAAATATCACCTCAACCAGGGCTTTTGCCTGGCACCTGCTCTCTAAAAGTCAATCAGTGCGTTATCATTGAAAAGAGTTATAGCACTGAATTATTCATAAAAGTGAATCAGTGAATATGCACTGTTTTCAACGACAATCCGCTGATTGACTTTTAGCCCGATATTGAAACCAACGGTACACGACACTATTTTCCCCACTGGATTGCTTACGAGAGCCAATCAGGATTTAGCCTTAAGTCACCTGATCTAAAACTCTGCATCCTGATTGGCTCTCGTAAGCGATCCAGTAGGAAAAATAGTACCGTGTGCCGTTGGCTTAAAACTCTGTATCCTTATTATTCACATAAACAGCCCAGCAGGAAAAATAGTATCGTGTGCCGTCGGCTTTAAATCGTCAGGTCTGCGATAATATATTTCATTTGTAAAAATTCAAATTATGGCGGGCAAAGTTCGAGCTTAACGCGGACGCGCTGAATCCGCCGCGATATCCCCGTTCGAGCCGGCGAACCGCCGGGCACGCTGCCTGGCAATTGCTCGCAGGGTTAATCGAGCTATGCGGCTCGAATTAATCGAATTAGCCCCTAACGAGTGTTGGCTGTCTCGCGGAAAGATTGACCGGCGTTGCCGGCGAACGGGCGTGCGGAGGCGAGCGTTCGCGTCGCACGATTCGCATCTGCGATCGCGCCGCGCCGGCGAGCCACGCCTGCGAATCGATAAGCCGCCCAGCAGGCGCGCGTATCTCTCGCGCGAGATGCGACGCCCGGAAATCGGGCAACGGAGAGCAACGGAAATATTATGTGTGTCGGCGTCGAGCGTTTCCCTCGCGCGCATCGGAAAACGAGATCGGCCCCGCGCGCCGACGCGACGACGCCGAGCCGATCGAATATCGTAACCTTCTCGCCTCCGACTCGTCGAGAGGCCTCTCCGCCGGGCCGGACCTAACTTCACCCCGTTCCCAGCCAGGGCCGGCGCCCCTTCGCCGCGTCTCGGGCGGATCACCGGGGGGCGCCGGGATTTTCAAATTAACGGTCGCGCCGGATTGTTAGGTTGACTCGAGCTGCGCGCGAGTGCACATCGTGCCGTCGCGTTTTCGAGAATCTCGCAAGCCGTACATCGCGTAATCGCATTTGAAAATAAATCGAATTCTAAATTTTATAAGACAAATTTTATATATGGATGTTACGAATCGTAGGAATAAAATTACGACTCTCTCTCTTGTGATTTTTATTATGTTCTTTCTCGCGCCTTTCTCCAAGTCCCTAGTAACGCGGTATATTGGCGCAATATTGGGAAATAATGTAAATCTACAATAGTATTCCCAATATTGGTCCAATATTGTAAGATGGACGCCTTTTCTTACTTAGCCAATATGTTTATTTAGCAATATTGGTTTAATATTGTATCGATATTTGACTAATATTCTTATTGCATTGTTAAACTGGCCAATTTTCTTATCCTAGTAGCACAGTGCATTGGCTAAACGTTGGCCCAACACAACCAAATATTGGGCCAATGTTTAACCAATGCTTGTTTAATGCACTGTGCTACTAAGGTATTTAGCCAATATATCTATTTAGCAATACTGGTCTAATATTGCATCAATTGATGCAATATTAGACCAACATTGTTATTACATTGCTAAATATTGGCCAATGCACTTCCGATATAAGTCTAACATTATATAATTATTATCTTGTAATATTTATATTTATTCCATGGCCAATATTGGCTTTGCGTTGGGCAATATCGGCCAATGCATTTCTAATATAAACATCGGACCAATGTTTAGTCAGTGTTTAGCCAATGCCCTGTCCTGCTAGAGATTCTCTTCGATCAAAATCGAGCAACAGGATAAAACAATCGCTCAGTTCAGACGCATTACGCGTAGAGTCAATTTGACGGTGTCGCTGTGTAAATTGCGTACAAGTAATTCGAGAGACTTCGCAGTGTCGAATATTTAAGAATTCGCTGAGGCGTGTAAATACGTAGATTAAAAAAGTAAACGCGAGGGAAAGAAACAAAGAGCTCTATTTGCACGCATAGCCGCCCGAGAAAAAAAGACTATCATTCGCGTGGAACTTCTGTGCGTTAACAACCAAACGTGTCTTACCGAGCAAGTAGAGGAGAGACAAAAAAAGTGCAACTCCGTCGAACAGCGTCAAATTCAACCGTTCCGACGGAAGCCGCGAGAGTGTGCGATCGATCCGGATTAGAATATCCGTGATCTCGTCGATCGAGAAATCGCGCAGGACTCTCGTGGCTCCGGGCGGCGTTGGTTCCAGCCTGGCGCGGCCGTTGGTGGTTCCTCTTGAAATTCGGGGAATCGAGGCTGCGCAGTCTCTCCCTCTCTCTCTCTCTCTCTTTCTCTCATCGGGGCGCGCGGAGCGTACGAGTCGGCGACGGCGGCGGCGACGCGAAGTTGGCAACGCTGCGGCACTCGTCGCCGGCCGCGAATCGCCGTGGCGCGGTGCGGGCGGCTCCGCCAATCGGCGGCCGGCTGCGCCCCTCCCTCCGCTCCGCTGCGCACGTAGAAGCTTGAAAATCTGTAACGGACACCGCAACCGCCGCATACTCGTCTCTGGACTCTCGCGACGCGTTGGTCTGCAGCCTCGAGTAAGTTCGATATAGCCGTAATCGCAGTCAGTCGCCGTCGTTGTCGTCGTCGCCGCATCTAAGGTCACAGTTCGGCAAACTCTACGCGAGCAACATGAGGGAAATCGTCCACATCCAGGCCGGCCAGTGCGGCAACCAAATTGGAGCGAAGGTAGGCGTTTGCGGGATCCCGGGGCGTCCGGAATCGTCGTCCTTCGAACGACGGCAGGCGGGGGGAGGGGGGGGGCGACGACTTGTTCGCGTTCGCGTGCCCTTTGTTCGCCACTCGTCGTACCTGTCCGCGCCGCGGAATTCTCGCCGCGGAGGCCGTCGGCGCCCCTTCGTTCTCGGCACGGAACCCTGCGAGACCGCTCGGTCCCGTTTCGCCTGACGACGAGGGCGTTCGCGGCCTCGCAGCGCCATTTTTCCTCTCCGGCGGCCGCTCGATATCCGCGAGGAGGACGGCCGCCGGCGCGAACGAGGACGCGCGTCGGCGTTCTCGCCCGTCGCTCGGCGGCCACGCTGGTATGCGAGGAAACTACGGGCCTCGCCCGCGCCGCGGTCGAAGACCTGTCATGGCGACCGAAGCTCGCCGGCCGGCCGGCACGGCCTAACGGTTTTTACCTCCCCCTGTCGAGTCTATCTCTCTCTCTCTCTTTCTCGCTCGCTCTCGCTGTTCGGCCGCGTTCCTGTGCGCCCGTCGGCCATCTTCTCTCGCCGTCTCCCGCGTATACGCCGAGTCGAGCCAAGCGAGTAGTCGCCGAGATTTGTCTGTCACTCGGCCGGCTGCTACGCTGGGTGTGGCGTGTCTCGCGACGCGAGCGAGCGAGAGAGAGAGAGAGAGAGAAGAGAGAGAGAGAGGATAAATCGTTCACGCGACGGCATCGACCGGCTGCGCGCGCATCTCTCTTTTTCGTCCCGCTGACATTCTCCGCTTTTACACCTCGCGAGAATCGCGGCCGTCGGCCCGCGCCGCTCGCTCGCGACGCTCGGGAGGGAATCCGTCTCCCGCGAGAGACGAAACTTACCCCGCGCTCTAGACACGTTCCCCGAACAGCCACGTCGTTCGGTTTTTACCGCGAATAAAGTCTGCTGTCTCTCCTTGCACGTCCATCTTTTCTCGTCCCCCTCTCGTAGCCTCTTTCAGACCGGTGTGCATTAAAGGTGAGCGCACACCGAACGAACGCTGATCCCCGCGGCAGATGGCGTTCACTCGCTTCGCTCGCGCAGCGGATTCGCGGTCGATCCCTGCGAAATGTTTGGAGGCTCGTTTTCCGTTGCTGCGCTGGTAAATTGGTGCGACGAAAGTTGAGAGTAGAGCCGAGAGAGATCTCTGGGTCAATTCTGTATCTCGCAATGTAGCGAAAATACCAAGGCCTGGTCTCACCAACGTCGCTTAACTCTAGCTCAGTTCACTTTTTGTCTCTTTCTAAGGCCCGGTTTCACCGACGTCGCTTAACTTTAAACTTGGTTTAATTTGTTCCTTGTCTATTTCCGACTAATACTTTAGAAAGAGACGAAGAACGAATTGAGCTAAGCTCAAAGTTAAACGACGTTGGTGAAGCCAGGCCTAACTGTTACTTTAGAAAGAGATAAACGTGAACTAAACCAAGATTAAAGCTAGACGACGTTCGGTGAAACCGGGTCTAAAAGGGAGCGGCTCCGTTTCTTTCCAAGGGGACAGTTGGAAAGAGACGGAGCTACTAGCTTTTAGCATTTTCACCGTAGTGCAGGATACAGAATTAACTCCCGAGAAATATGTAGCCAATCAACTTTCAGCTCCGCCGTGAAAACTGCAAGTTGATTGGCTACGTGTTTCTCGAATCGAGATCTCTGGCCGATTTCTGGCATCGTGGACACAAGGCTTTAGACGAGCATATATTTTTTCATTCTAACTTACTGCACTAGTTCACCGGTGCAGCAATAGAAAACCAGCCTCCTTTCGATCATAAATCTTTCCCTCCAGCGTGAACTCGTGAAAAATTTCATGGACGAATTGAATTCTTCAACGAAAATTTTTCACTAGAGGAAAATGTTCACGATCGCGAGCCCCAGGTGGAAGCGGCGAGAAACCGGGTAGCGCGGCCCCCGTGTGGACGCCCCTTAAGGCAGATGGCATTCCTGCGCGGCGCTGCGTCACGGTCGCGTTTAACGGCCAGCGTCGTCCGCTCGTCGGCTCGCGCGCGGCGGATGCATTTGAAAATTTTTGCGCGCGACGCGCCGTTAAACGACGGGCGGACGCGTGGCGCTGCGTTATCGCGAGTCGACATGCTCGGACGCCCGCAGTCCCCGCGCCGATCGGCGTCTCTCGCTCTCCGGCATTTTCTACCTGCACGCGCTCCGTTCCCTTTTTGCCGCCGACCTATCGATCTCCTCTTCCTCTCCTCCGGCATTTGTTTTTACAAATCGAGTCGCTCGGAGACGCGAGGTTCCGGTCTCTGGCAGCGCGGTTTTACTCCCCTCTGCCCGAATAAAAACGATGGACACGCTTTACGCAATGCCGCCAAGTGAAGCCAACGGGATGCGATACTATTTTTCCCACTGGATTGCTCGCGAGAGCCAATCAGAACTCGAGCCAACGGCGCACGAGACTACTTCGTTTACTGGATTGCTTACGAGAATCAATAAGGTCCGGTTTCACCAAATGTCGCTTAACTTTAATCTTGGTTTAATTCATGTTTGTCTCTTTCTAGAGTAACAGTTGGAAAGAGACAAACAACTAATTGGGCTAAAGTTAAGCGACGTTGGTGAAACCGGACCTAAGGATGCAGAGTTTTAAAGCCAACGGCACACGACACTATTTTTCCTACTCGATTGCATATCGAGAGCCAATCAGGATGCAGAGTTTTTTTTCGCTCAGGTGACTTAAGGCTAAACCCTTTTTGCCTACGAGAGCCAATCAGGGTTCAGCCTTAAGTCACTTAATCGGAAACTCTGCATTCCGATTGGCTCTCGCAAGCAATCCAATAGGAAAAATCATGCACCGTTGGCTTGAGCCTTGAGTCAGCTGATCTAAAATTCTGCATTCTTATTGGCTCTTGCAAGAAATCCAGTAGGCAACATAGTATCGCGTGCCGTTGACTTAAATTTAGCTTGAAGTATTAAAGTTTTTAGTTGTACATTTTTGTTTTTACGTTAAAGATCGCGTTGAGAGACCGCGCAACCGTGTTTCTCGCGCAGGCCGGTCTTTCGTAACAATTGTTAACCTTATCTGAATATAACCGGTGATCGCGATTGCGAAGCGGGTGAAGATCGAGGGGAAGCTGATCGACGTTCGTCGTCACGCTTCCGTAATTTTTAAGGCTGCTGCACCAAGTCAATGCCCGTTTCTCGAGCTGTCTATCTCGATCGATCCGACGTCACGGTAGCGTAACAGCGCGGCGGCTATTTTTTTTACCCTCCGTTCTTTTTTACAACAGAGACCGGGAGTAACGAGGACGTATCGATTCGACGGAGAACGTTTTCCCTGCGCACCGGGCGCCGTCGCGATCGTTTGCGATTCGTCAATTTTAGCTTGTCTGAAATCTGATTAAAATCTATCGATAACCGAGTTGTTACGTAAGGACAACGATACGTAAATCGTTTTGCTTGTATCTTTCAGCCTTAATTTGTTTACATTACATTAAAATATTTAGTGTTAAGCTGCGTATGTTTGCAAATTACTCGAAAAGGGTCCAAATCCGGGACCGAAACGTCGTTTGTTTTTTAAATAAAAACATTGGCCAGTGTAGGTCGTCTTTGAAAAACGACACGTCATTTATTTACATTTGTTAAAAACAATTCGTTGCGTCATTACGCTACGTTACCACTGGTAAAAATCCCAACTTATCGGACTCGGTCTAAATTCAGCGAAGAGTTCGGTTCGGAAAATGTGTCGATGTGTTCAATATTCTCTCCTGTGAATTCTACCGGAGAGAAAAAGATGATTGTCAAGAGATGTAAGGTGTTCGAAAAAGTTCGTACCTCCCTCGAGAAAATTGTAGAGAATCGCAACATTGGGGGACGAGAAACCAGCGTATGTAGCGCCGCGAGGCGCTCTATACTACGCGTGCTCCGTTGTGTAACTACTACACGAACGGTGCCCATTCAACCAACGGACGCCTTCGAGTCCAAGGACAGCGAGTCTCGCGTAGACACGGCAACGCGCTCCCAAATAAAGGAAGCCGGCGATATCCTCTCGCCATTTTCCTTCGCATCACCTCGGCCCGTTTCGAACCGTTTCGCTTGTTGCCGAGTACGCCGGCGGCAACTCTCTCTCTCTCGCTCTCTTTCTCTCTCTCTGGATATAGCCAGGTGTATCGATCGGGTCGGGTCGCAAGGCTGGGTTTCGCCTACTGTCGCAACTCTATGACAATTACTATTTTATGACGATTTCCGTTTTTTTCCCCCCATTTTTTCAGCCCCGAGATAGATTTTACGGCGGGTTCAAATATAATTGGAGCTAATAATACGCCCCATCACCGAGTGACACTATCTATAAACGACAGTCTACCTAATAATACGGTATTTTGTATTAATAGCGACGAGCGTGTTAATAACTTGAAATGTTGCCATCCTGAAGTACACGTATCGTCATAGAGTGTTGTTCCATCGTGAATATTTTAGGAGAAAGATCTGGTTCACTGTCAAGCCAGACCAGGTTTACCTCGTCCTCGTTTACGGGATTCCACAATCTTCGTATCAATCGCGCGAAAATTATGCTCCGAATCCACATTCGTACGAGACGCGTAATTAACAACTGTAGTTATTATTTCTACGCGCGAGCGTTCGCGCAGGCTGCACGAAATGTTGTATAGGATCCCTGGTAGAATTCGTTGGCACCGTTCGCTCCAAAGCTCTTGGCCGTAGCCGGGGTATATTCCAATATTCGCTTCGTGCCGTTACGACCAACTGCCCCCGCAGAATTGTGCGTTTCGTAACGGGAAACAGACCTAACGCTTCTCGTTTATTATTAGATTGTCTTATCGCGTTTTAAGGCGTTTATCGGCAGCTCGTGGCATAATTACGAGCTCGTACAAGACTCGTTACGAACCTTCCCCGCAAGCAAGAAACACGGGTCTTCCGATCCAAAGAAACTTCCTGGATCGACAACAGCAGAACAGTGCAATTAATATTTTCCAAGGAACTGCTTTGGTTTTCTTATACTAGCATTTTTAACTTGGACGGTTCAGTTTGTACAAATGCATGCACGGGAAAAAGTGCTGTTGATTAAAACAATGAAGTTGCTTGAACGTTAACGTCACGGGCTGCCACAAACATAAATGATTCGCTCAATTGTATTTGCTATGGATCGTAATTTGAACCTTTAAAGGGCCAAACTGGCCACTATCAGGGTGTTCAGTGGTCAGGGAAATCTGAAAAACTGGGAATTATCAGAGAATTTTAGAAAGATGGAAAAGTCAGGAAATTTTACGATTTATCTGGATTCTTTATATCGTTTCAACAGGGACAAAACTATAACTGACTAGACTGGCCACTATCAGGGTGTCCAGTGGTCAGGGAAATCTGGAAAACTGGGAATTATCAGGGAATTTTAGAAATATGGAAAAGTCAGGAAATTGTACGATTTATCTGGATTTTTTATATCGTTTCAACAGGGACAAAACTATAAAAAAAGATGAATTACTAAACAGTGCTATCTAAGTAAGTTACTATCTAGTAAGTTGCAAACAAAACGCAGTTAAGCAAAACGAAAGCATCATATATGATTACGTACGGTATCACAAATGGTTCGAATGGTTTGTAATGATATGTTCGTTCCTATTACACAATGTATTATACATAGATGGTATGATTGCTTTAATTTAAATTTTTACCTTTTTAAATTCCGGACTTTTGTTTCCCGAGAAAAATATTTTAAGGACTTCGTCATTTAACATTTACTTGATTTATCATACAGATGCACGCAAATTATGCATCTCGAAAAAAAATTACGCTAAACTGTCGGGGAAAAATTAATTCCCACTCCTGGAAAATCTGAAAAAGCCATAGAATTTTTTCATTGAGTTTCCTGGACACCCTGACTACAGTGGCCAGGAGCAAACTTGAAAACTTTGCGGAACGTGTGGATTACATAGATGTATAAATTTTCTGTTTAAACAATTACAAATGTCAATGGAAAATTGCCGGCCCCTTTGCCATTCATTAATACCGATGCTGTTCCGACGATTTTATTTCAATTACCCTGATCTTGTTGATGTAACATCGTTCGTGTGTTTGCGTATCGCGTCCCATGTACGTTCCGCATAGACAACCCTTGGCGCGAATTAATTCTCCCTTTCCGCGCCTCTCATCGTAAGCGGCGATCCATTAAAGTCCAGCGGTACCCTCGGGACCGCTCGCGGACCAATTGCATCGCGTATCCGCTCGGTGGTTACGCAACGCGTAAATGCAGCGTCGCTCGCGCGCACGCGTGCATGCGTTTAGAATAACGGTACGACCTTTCGCGCTGCTTCCGGTCTAGCGACGACGGTCTGTCGCCAGCTGTTGGCGAAGATACCGCGCCAAGTCCGAGGAAAATGGGGGGAGGAAAAAGTTGAAAACGCGCAAATGGACAAGCGGATCGCCGCGGAGCCACAACCGATCGGGCCGATCGTCGCTCATGCTAATCGCAACACTGTCGTTTTACAATCATCTCTATATATAGCGGTGACATTGGTGACTCATATCTGACTGTAACATATACACCGCGGCCAGGCTGGACGGGGAGGAGGAGGAGGAGGAGAGAGGAGCAGGGTGGGGGCAGATAGGGTTGGGTGATCTTAGCTTTCGAACGACGATGATCATATATGGTCACTGCTTAATACACCCATCGTCTCCATGTGGGACGTACCGAACGGTAGGCGGACTCGGCGTTTTTGCAGTGACTTTCACGCGGGTTGTGTATATCATGGACTTTGAGATTATTCGGCGACAGTTTCTCGAAAAAGAGAAAAGCGGCTTGCCTCGACGAAAGCCGCAGCGATGCAGCCTATCTCTCTGCAGCGCTCTTACCTTCGACTTTATCTGCCCACGATTATCGACTGTGTATCCTTAATTGACAACTTGAAGAGATATCGGGGTGAAAACGCAACTAAAACGTCTTTCTCAAACGCGATAATGATAAATAAGTTGTCCTCTTAATGTCTAGCTCTCGTTTCATAATGAATACGTCGAGATAAAGAATTGCTGGTATTACTAAATATCCCGTAATAAATTTCTTTAATTAGAATTTGCCAGTCGTGTCGAATATCAATTTCCTACATTGGTTAATTATTTACTGGCGCCAATGAGTCTTTATTCTTGTTATTGCTATTACTATTTCTTCAGTTAAAATATAATTTTTTTAAGTTAAATAATTTATCGAAATATATATATTTTGTTAATTAGGTATTTTGGCGAATTAACAAATATTTGAGTCATTGACCGCAGCATTTAGTTAAATCAAGAAATATTTGACTCAACACTTGTTTTTCTTCTTAATTGAGATAGTTGACACACCCAGAAAAAAGTTCGTTTGAGATCAAACCAATTTTCTTCGAATTTTGATCTTTTATTTAATTTCAAAAAAATGATTTCTCAATCAAAATGTTACTTGATCGAGACTGGAATCGCTAAGAGAATTCATATCAAATCTAGCAAATGTTCTGGTACAAGTAAATAAAAATCTAGCAGGCTCAAAGAAACGTGCTTTCAACGTATCTCATCTGTTTAACAGAAATAAATCTTTTTCTGGGTGCACGATGAACGGAAAGCAGCGAGTGGCGAGTGGAACCGCTTTCCGCGTTGCAAACTTTATAATTGGGGCCTGGCAAATTCGGATAACGGCGGACTTCCGCGGCGGGGCGTCTTGAGAAAGAGGCGCGTAATTCGCCAAGTGACGTATAATTTGGTATCTCGCCACAATAGAGTCGCGCGACATTCCGGACCTACGATAAAGACGATCGTGCCCGAAACGATATAATTATCGCTGGCCTATCCATTCCTATCTATTTCCGCGCCTTTGTACTCGCAGGGATATGCACGTATCTCTCGCACGTCGATTTCCAGAAATACACCGCGGAGGTCTTTGAACCGCTTCCCCGAGACGGTGCGGAGATGCGGCAGCGTGGACCGCGCGCGCGGTCCACCGCCGCCGACGCGATCTCGCAATTAACTTCCCCCCTTTGTTTGCAAATAAGGAGTTGCGTCAGACACGCCCAGTCGGATTCTGAGTCGCTAATCGGTGGTGCCAAACTGTCTCCCATGCACTTAGCTCAGGCGGAAATTAATTTGCATCGCTAATTGATACATGCGTGCGCCAAAGTATCGCTTCTCTCTGCCATTCGCGGAGGTATCTGCGCCGGGATTGTCCGCGAACGTTCAATTTGAAAATGCCGACAGTCTTCATTGCGTTAAATTGAAAGACATTTACAAGCGATTGACATTTCAGTCTGAAGCACCGATTACGATTACTACGGTGAAACGAGCGCTTCCGGGAGATCGCGCGGCGACGCGGTCCATCGCTGAAGCGTCGTGTTTCGTCGCGACGCGCTTCGACGGGCCGATCGACCGGCCGCGCCGGGACGCGAGCGTGACCGCGCTTACGGGACTAATTAGTCTCGATTATCGCTCGGGCGATTCGGTTGCGCCATCGGCAGAGGCCGGGCTCGCATTGAAAAATGCGAAAGGGAAAAAAAAGAGAAACGTAATTCGACGCGCAGGCCTTGGGATATTAACGATTAATTACACGCGAGCTATTCGCCGCGCTCGCGCTCGCGCGCGAGGTCGTTGAACGGCAGCGCTCCGTTCGCGCGCTCGATACAATGGAAGGCTGGAAAACGGATGCGAGGATAATTGCGGGGAGAAAGCCGGTGCGCGAAACTTCCTTCCTACGCGCGCACACGCGCGTCTAATTTTCGTGGCGACGCGGATGACGTTCGGTGAACGAAGGAGTCCGTGTCTTACTCTCGTTTCCCCCCGTCGAGAAAGACCGTTTCTTGCTTTAGCCCGCGGTAAGACGAAGCTCGCTTCTCGTTCTAATTGACATTGTTCTGACGAGGTGACTTTTTTGTGCGTTGCAGTTTTGGGAAATCATAAGCGACGAGCATGGCATTGACCCAACCGGCACTTACCACGGTGACTCCGATCTCCAGCTGGAGAGAATCAACGTCTACTACAATGAGGCGTCCGGCGGCAAGTACGTGCCGCGTGCCATCCTCGTCGACCTGGAGCCCGGCACCATGGACTCGGTGCGCTCGGGACCGTTCGGCCAGATCTTCCGACCGGACAACTTCGTGTTCGGTCAGAGCGGCGCCGGCAATAACTGGGCCAAGGGTCACTACACCGAGGGTGCCGAACTCGTCGACTCGGTGCTCGATGTGGTGAGGAAGGAGGCCGAGAGCTGTGACTGCTTGCAAGGATTCCAGCTGACGCACTCGTTGGGTGGTGGTACAGGATCTGGAATGGGTACCCTGCTCATCTCCAAGATCCGCGAGGAATATCCCGACAGAATCATGAACACGTATTCCGTCGTGCCGTCACCCAAGGTATCAGACACAGTTGTCGAGCCGTACAACGCCACCCTCTCCGTACACCAGCTCGTCGAGAACACCGACGAGACGTACTGCATCGACAACGAGGCCCTCTACGACATCTGCTTCCGCACCCTGAAACTGTCGACGCCGACGTACGGCGACCTAAACCATCTCGTCTCCCTCACGATGTCCGGTGTCACGACTTGTCTGAGGTTCCCAGGTCAGCTCAACGCCGATCTCAGGAAACTCGCCGTAAACATGGTACCTTTCCCCCGTCTTCACTTCTTCATGCCCGGATTCGCGCCTCTCACGTCTCGCGGCAGTCAACAGTACAGAGCGCTCTCCGTACCGGAGCTCACCCAACAGATGTTCGATGCCAAGAACATGATGGCAGCGTGCGACCCCAGGCATGGCAGGTACCTCACAGTCGCTGCCATCTTCCGCGGTAGAATGTCGATGAAGGAGGTCGACGAGCAGATGCTCAACATTCAGAACAAGAACAGCTCGTACTTCGTCGAGTGGATACCGAACAACGTCAAGACCGCCGTGTGCGATATTCCGCCGCGCGGTCTCAAGATGTCCGCCACGTTCATTGGCAACTCCACCGCCATCCAGGAACTGTTCAAGCGCATCTCCGAACAGTTCACTGCCATGTTCAGGAGAAAGGCTTTCCTTCACTGGTACACCGGCGAGGGTATGGACGAAATGGAGTTTACCGAGGCTGAGTCGAACATGAATGACCTGGTGTCCGAGTACCAGCAGTACCAGGAGGCCACTGCGGACGAGGATGCGGAATTTGACGAGGAAGCGGAAGCTGAGGTTGACGAGAATTAAGAGAGAGAGAAAAATATCCCGCGGCGGAAGCGATACTTTCTCGCCCTCTCTCCTTGTTCTCTCTTTCTCCCTCTCCCCCCTCCCCCCTCTCTCTCTCTCGATGGAGCGATAACGCAACACACCCTTCACCCATGCTTCTTAACTCGTTATCTCTCTTTTGTATCTTTTTTTACAAACTCGTTTCGAACCTTTACGGAGCGCGCGCGCGCTTTTCGTTGCTCCCCGTATTGCACCCCTAGTGCGATGATTCGAAGAATGATTTCTTATTTTTTAATGCTTCTACAAGACTCATTATTTTCGATTACTAATTTTCGCGCGCCCCTACCATCATCCAGTGTATAACCGCCGAGAGCGGCCGCTACATATTTGAATAAATTATTATATGAATCTGTCGTAACTCGCACTACTCCCTGATTATTACACAGACCTCTAGAATTTAGTGCTATTGAGTTTTGTATTTTCGAAGACTTCATATATATATTTATATTCGTCTGTTGTCATACGCAGTTTTATACCATGATAAATTAGATGTGAATAAAAATCCATGAAATATATGATGAGAGTATTGATTAGACATTCAGTTATCTGATATATGTTAAAGCTGGACTTTGAAGTTATTTATCAAGTAAATAATGATTGCGAAAAAAAGTTTTGAATATACGAGTGCTGCAATTGTTGCAAAGATTTACTTGAGATTCGAACTGGCCGAAATAAGATACATCAGTTAGCTCGACATTTATTAATTGTTTTTATTTATTTTTTTTAGCAATATGAGCGGCATAGTCACACTTTTTCATTTTTGATATTTTAATTGCTAATGTTGGGAATATATTACAATCACTCGGTGTGACTTCTACATATTTCTGGTAAAGTGGCGACTAACTTTTCGAGTAATATCGGTATCGCTTGTTTTCATTCGGAAGGAAAGATTTAGAGATTGACGACGACAATTATACGATTAATTTTCATTTTCCTTATTACGGATGGGCTTCTTAGTAGCAATCGGCTAAAATGCCTGTATCACTTGAATTTGCATTTCTTCCATTCTTGTATATTAAATATTGCAGTAAATTTATTATTATACAAATACGAGTAATTTAAATAGTTTTACTACTTCAATTAATCGCCGATTATGTTAATAATTTGGTCGAAGTCGCCCTTTTTTTTTAAGTTAAGAAAGAATATAAATAAACGCGAGCTTAGCCTTCGCGATCCTGCTGCATTTATATCACAAGTATACGAGTCTCATTTCTATTAATAAATCAAGTTATATCTTCCACTCTTTCTCAAATGTCTGGCACACTATTGCTCACAAAACTGTGTTAAATGCATGAATACCACAACCGACTGCGCCAAAATGCGGCCCAATCATCCCTATAGAAAAGTCGGCCTTATTTTTTTAACGTAAAAATAATACGAAACGAACAGAAGGTCGTATTGATTTATTTGTATTCTAGAGACATCTGTGCTTTTATCGGGCAACACGATAAAAAATTTTTTTTATCAGACTACCATTGCTCACGTAATTACCAGTGCCAGTAAAACTGGGACCGCGTCTTACCGACGGAGGTTACAGATTAACAAACTCTCATACTCATTTACCATACGTTAATCTCGAGTTCCGGTAATTTGATTTACCGTCCCTCATTTCCGCTCTCTTCGCACGACGGCGAACGATAATGATATTTAATTATGACCGCTCGTAAAATCAATCCGTGTAAAATGTATGCGTTTTACATCTCGCGTGAGATGGTGATTGGCCGCAATAGCGGCCGCGAGCAATTCCGACGGCCTCGCCTTGGGGGAACGCGAAACACTTTGCATCCGCGCACTGCGGTAACGAAGGAATGTCGAACGCGCCCCGGCTAGCGAGCTAACGGATCAACGGAGATACAGTTAAGCCGACGGAATCAGCGCGCCTCGGCCTTTCGCTCGCGCCGAGAGATCGTCCCGTGGACCGAACGGCGGGACACATTGTCGCATTTTCGTCCGGGGCGCGGACGGCGCGCGAGAAACCCGAGCCGGCGCGCTCGGGTTGGAAATAACCGCGACCGCGTTGCGACCCGGCCCTTCCGGTTGCGCCTCCTTCGTCCCTGCCGAGATTATTGCCTTATCTCGCTCCCCTAATTTCGCACAATTGACCGCCGCCTCACCGCGTGGCCCGCGTGACATTCTCCCACGATCTTCGGTTCCCCTGAATTAATTCCGCCACTTTACGATCGGTTCGTTTCACGATCGCTTCGTGTGATTTGGCGCTCGCGCTCCGCAGCAGAAAGAGTTTTGCAAATATATATATATAATATTAGATAAAAAAAATATGATTAAGATACCCGAGTCGAAATTCTGGCCCTATTTACTACTTTAAACAATTTAATTTTTTATATATTTTCATAATTTTGATAACTAGCGGAAGGCGCGAATTACAATTGACATAAATCGTGCGACGTGCGCGGAAGATTATCGGATTCGATTTTGGCCGTTCGCCTTCGATAAAACGCAGACATCGACCTTAATAGACGCGATGTGACTCATCGCATGTCTCGCCGCTGTATGTCGACCGTCTCGTCTTACGAATTCGATCCATCGCCAGGCGCCGCACGCAATAACAAAGTACGCGTCGTACGTGCCTAGCTCATTAAGAATTAAGAGATAAGCATCGTTTCCTGCCTGCCGCGTCAAATACCGCGTATATTGTCCCCGAGACTTAGTCAATTTCATACAAGTTTTCTCTGCAAAATCGTCCCGCCCAAAGAGCACTCGTATTTTTTTGACAGAAGCGTGTCAGAAAACGTCCAAACTTAATCTCCGGCGCATACGGACTTACCCTCATAAAAACATCGGAAACTGACCCAGTGAGAAATGGCTCGTCGATCGACATCGAAACGATGTCCAATCAATGTCAATGTGACGGTTTTGATGTCGATACGAGTCATTTCTGAAGTGTCCACGACG